GTGCTATTGCCATTGGTGGGAATTTCAAGGGCCTGATAGCCTATCAACCAGCGCGGGGTTGCCATGGGCTTGTGATTCTGTCGAAATATGTATTTGACTTATCCTTAACACCAAAATTGCCGTTGAAACGGGAGCCCCGTTGCCTCCTGTGGCCTGTAGACCTTTTTCTTTGGCTGTAAACTGCTATATCCTACACGTTCTTTATTCTACCAGTGTTCATACCCCCACACTGTCTCACTCTCACTATTCTTCCATTTCCTGTATCTCATCATGTTTTCTTTTCGCCGAAGGCCCAGAACTTCAAACTCCACGGGGTCACCACTGAAAAGCTCTCCCTCTTTGCCCGAGCTGCATTCTCAAGGCATTCCATGGCCGGAGAACTTAGTAGATGTCACGGTAATACATGAAGGTCCCTTTCCAGAGCCCGAACGTTATCCCCAGCAAGGTGCGGTCAAAAGCTCTGTATCCTGCTCCGATCGTGCCCCCATTCCATTCCACAAACCATTTCGGTTAATTGCAGGACAACCGGCGGAAAATGGCTGCAAGATTTCGTCTATGTATATGTCTCACCCCCCGTCTGCGTTCGGTAATTGGAGATCTTCCACCGTTCCTGTCTTGTCGCCACGGCGATCTCACCGTAAAAACCGTGCATCACCTGCATTCAACCTCATGGTATGTTACCACATTGATCTCCCAAATTTGATTGAACTACGACGCGTCGACCAGGTCGTAGGAGCAAGAGGCACAGGAAAGACTTCGTTCTTGCGTTTACTTCTCGAAACTGCAGACATATCGCCAAATGCGACAGAAGACCAGCGTGTGGGTTTGGATCGGTTTTTAAATGGTTCTCTGAAGCATACACAGCAAATTAACACGGCTTGTGTTGAGATTTGCGAGTCGCGGTATGACCGAGTGCTTCTGACCGTCATTGATACTCCCGGGCTGGATTTCAGCGACGGACACGAGTTGCGGGTTGAACGCCAGGTCAGTGGGATGATCAAGTATCTTGACGCGCAATTTGCGGATACGATGAATGAGGTATATCACGCAATCTTGTTCTTTCGAAGCTGTTACTTAATAAATATATAGGAGTCTAAAGTTGTCCGTCAAAGCAAAGGAGATCAACATGTTCACTTGTAAGAATTTTGTCATGTTAACAATTATTGATTCAAACATTCTGGATCTAGGTGTATCTTTATGGTTGATCCCTCGTCTATATTGTCACCGTCACCTCGCATCCAATCCTCTATGTCGGGCAGAGCCCGGTCAGATACCACGGTTTCTCGTACTACCGTCGGAGATATCCAAGAAGCCATTTATAATCAAGAATATTCCAGAGACTTCGCAATGTCCCCCGCTGAGCTTCGCGTGATCCGTCGTCTTTCGGCACGGGTGAACGTGCTTCCTGTTATTGCACATGCGGACTCACTTACAGATGACACGTTGTCGCTGGTCAAAGCTGCTATTCACAGGGATCTAGAATCAGCTGGCCTAGACTTTGGGGTGTTCACCACACCCAAACCGAAAGCGGACTCCCCCGTACCGGTGTCACTCTCGGACGATAAAGCTGCCACAACGTTGCCGCAAGAAGTAAACGGTCACCGTGAGAACGGCGACGTCCACCAAAATGGCAGCTCTTACGTTGCAAATGATAGTGAAAACCAGGGACGCCCCTCACGTCCAGTGATTACACTGAAAGGGACGCGGCTTTCCCGTTCTCGTTCTCGCTCTCGTCGTGACCTATGTGCCGTAGCTCAAGACGAAAGAGAACCCTACTATCCCGATGGCGCCGAAGAAGATAACGTAGCAAATATTCGTTTCTCAGCTCATGTTGTTTCCAAAACAAATCTCTCAACATTACTCCCCTTCGCGCTTATCGCTCCAGAACAGGCAACTACCCCGCGTATTAGATGGCCGCAGCCAGCTTCCCCTGAATCTAATTTTTGTGCGCGGGAAGACGTGACAGGGCCCTCTACCCCTGTGGCAGAAACACCAATCTCCCTCGATAGTCCTACCGTCCGCAAATCCGTGTTTTTTCAATGTCCCCCGCAGGATCTCAGGGGCGTGTTCACTCGGAAGTTCAGATGGGGGACTATTGACGTTCTCAACCCTGGCCACTGTGACTTCGCTGCCCTCCGAACAGCGATTCTATTGACCCATCTCAAGGTGAATAGTTTCATGACATATTGTATACACTGGTGATACTACAAAATACTCCCCAGGTTCTCAAGGTACATACTCGGGAAGTTCTGTATGAAAAGTACCGAACGGAGAAACTCTTGGCTAGGCGTGCAACCAGGAACATAGGCCCCGAGGAAGCGAAGCGTCTGTTGGAAGGTACGCCACCTGTTTGCGAATTACGGTCTTTGTGACTCATTCTGTCCCTAGATCTTGGCTTGTAATTCCGTCAATTTATTCCTATTTACGAGTTCTATCAAGATCTCTCTTGTACTCCCTAGTTTTTGATTACTTTCTCTGGATCGGTTATATATTGTATGTCATCGTTCATACTATGGATCTATTTTTTTGCACTCCCTTTCACAATTGGGAATATCACATAGGGCTTCCCCCGCACTTTTGGATTCATCTACGCACTTTTTAAATACCCTGCTTTTGAACCCCTCTTTGAAATTGATTGTAATCTGGTACAGGGCCCCTCCAAGGTTTTTAAGACTCGAACTCAGTGGGAGATAGAAGCATGGACGAAACTAGCTCCGGGTAGAGCCCTGTGATATCAGTATGGAGCCGATACATAATACAACGGGACAACCTCGTATGCAACAATATAAGTCAAATTTGGCCAATCACGATTGAAGGGGATGGGAAGGGCGTAACGCAGTACGTCAACGGACAGTAGCAATTACGAGTATGGTCAATACAGCGACCGTAGAAGAGCAAACTGAACTTCAATTCTATGATGATGATCAAACCCAGTGGGTTCTTGCGGCGAGAATCTTGCGGACGTAGCAATCCCGGACAATCGTAAGTTTCCGAGCACCAAGTCGCCAGTCGCCAATGCGCTGGCGCAGCGGCAGTATCCGTACATAATTAATTTAGCAGGGCGACCAGCCCTCTCCAACCCTTTCTGCGATCCCACCCCAGAAATGACACAAACTTGCCACAGGACCAAGGCTTAAACTGTATGTGATGATATACAGGCAGAACTTGAACGTTTGAACACGCTCGCCCAAAACGGAGAGGCACAGGCACTCCATGTAAACTTTTTAAGTGACATAAATAAAATAATTATATTGATAACTATAAGCCATTTGGGGTACTCACCAGCGATATGAGCTGACATAATATGATAAGCTTCCTCTGGATAGAGTCAACTCATCGTCAACTGACGATCACACAGCTTCGACGCAGCTCCCATGATTCAAAGGAGTTGTACTATGTCTTTATGGTTCCCTTTCTATCCATAATATTCTTGGTGAAACATCTGGTAGCAGATATATAATCATTCTAGATCACAAGCATCGCACGTTCTTCTCCAGTGACGCCGGTCTGGGTGCCTTTGTCCTCAATTCTCGTCGAGGGATCGATAGCCATTGCATTCTTGGCCATTCCAAAATTGCAATAGATATCGATCCAGAACACTCATGCCAGCTCAGGACTGTTGAACTTGGTAACTTCCCATCCACACGTTCGATGGCCTTCCTATGGATTTTCTCAGTGGATTTGAAGGATGCTGGGATTACATCCGCGGCAGAGCCCGCTATCCCTCCCGATTTGCTATTCTTGACATGTGCGAGTACCACCCGCCGCAGGCGGAACGTGGGACGGGTGCTACAGGTGGTGGGTAACTTGGTGTGGCACCCACACGGGTACGCGTCGGAGGACTTGCTGAATTTGCGTATCTGCAGATATGCAGTGTCCACGGGTAGTTGGTACCCCAAATAGCAAATTATTTTTGGCCGAGCCGAACTTGGTACTGTTTATTAAACGCACCCCTACCCGACGTCGAAATCCATCGAAATCACGCTCGTGGAGATATGAACAGGTACGAACATCTCATGCCCCGCAGCGCTGTAATATGATGCTCACCTCACACACTATGTCTCAGGTGAATCTTTATCAAAGCCTATCAAAGTTTACAGCGAGCCGCAGCCACTATCATACCAAGTTCTCGATGTTTACAATTTGTTGTGCACGGTCCGATTCTGATGTGTAAAATCTATCTTCGCATCTATCTTTTCATACATGTACCTCGATCATCATTCATTTGATTTGTCTCAATGGTGAGGAAGTGTTTTATTTCATCATCGAACATGTCTTCTGAGTCGGCACCCGGGTGCGGGTTACCAGCTATACATCCACCCCGTCGTAAACTAACAGCGTTTCCTATTCTTATTCCACAATCTTCTAAAAAGAAGCGACGAACCAAAACGGAGAAGTGACGAGAGCATCATTAATGGTATCTCATTGTATGTCTTGAAGTTTAAATTCTAGTGGCATCGAAAGCATGCTGTTTAGCAGTCTATGCTCACCACTGGACGGCCTGACCTCATTGAAATGGAGCCTGATTGACTCGGATAGTAGTCGCAGATATTGTGTGGTACTACCTATATCCTCGCAAATCTGAGTCGTATCTGCAATTCCGCACAATTTATTTGTCACCCGCAGATTCACCCACACCCGCCTTGACACTGATCAGTGTGGATGCAGGCAGGCCTTCAGAGTGCTATCTACCCACGAATTAGGCCCTGGGTACGGATACCACTCCATTGCACCCATGTCACACCATAAGATTCTGATGGCATCAAGAATCAAGTACTTGAGCCCGAAATATTCGGACAGTCTAACAAAGCGATGTCACGTTAGTGGTTGTCTTCGTGCGCCTGTCGCCAAGGCCATGCCACGTAGTAAGGACCATGTAATATCCGTCAGCACTGCTCACACTACCTGCTGCTGCGGCATCCACCAATGAACAGGTTTCTCTTCCCGAAATAACCTCAGATCTCCACCTCGTCATTTCCAATAAAAAACCCACGACCAGATGTCCATCCCAAAGGTGGTGGAATACCACAAGATAAATACGCATGTCGGCAGGAAGCGACAACAACCCTAGATATACACAACTGATAGAAAAACAAAAACAAAGACTACTGTGATTATGTATGGTAGTACCTCGAGGTAGGCAGGCGGGTCATTCAGCGTAAGTAAGTTGGGTTCATAAAGCCAACCATGCAATTCGTTACTATGCAGTGAGAGCATCGATCTCTTCCTGTGACAAACCATCCAATCTGTGCAATAGATAATCGACCTGGTAAAATACATTAAGTCGAGGATCCACCTGGATACAAAGAAACGCGTACCTCGACCTCTTTTGTCAGAGGGATGATATAGCTTTCGTACAACTCCACCACACCATCAACATCAATTTTTGCACTACCATTCAAATGAGAGTTGACTATGGCGTCACCATCTGCGCTGAATTCTTGTGCGTATATGGCAGCTTTCTTGCGTAAACGCTGAAGCAGCTTGCGCTCAACCTCCGGTTTCGTAATCAACGCCTCGAGTGCGGTTCGATTAGGCGTCAGAATGTGGGGGATGAAGGCAGCGGGGTTTGCAATGAATTTTGATTCAGAAACGAATTTTCCTGCACTCAGAAAGATTAAAAGGATATCGGGCTCGATAGAAGTGACTGACCGTAGTGCACGCGTTTACTAATTGCCTGCAGAACTTCAACGTCTATGGTAGCTGCGCTCCCGTAATTACCATCGTCCTCGTATTCTTCATCTCCAATAATCCCATTTGAGCGCTTGATCGCTGCTAGCGCCAGAGTTGCCCGCCTTGTTATCCGCGGAACAATGGACCGAGTGTAGAAGGACAAGATTGATGGATTTGCATTGATAGTGTTTGGATATAGTATTTTTGGGAAAGCCAGGGGTAACAGTACTGGGACAGGGAGATTGGACGTGAAAGGGTATTCATCCGGGCTATTATGACGTTAAACCGCGAAACAGATCTGATTGTAAGAATATTTACCTTGTATATCTACGAGCTCTAGCTGTGTAGTGATGCGACTTAGCACATTGCCTATGTTTAGCATTGATAAAAGTACGAACAATGGAAAGTTTCAATCTCTTTCAAGAACCACTCGAGCCAACTTCCATCAAATTCCATATCCCTCAATTCGTCAAAGGAGCCACGTATGTAGATTCGGGGGTTGTGAGCGAACTGCGCCCGCTCTATCAAATCAAATATGATGGTATCTTCAAGGCGGACCAAAATTTGACGGATCCGCTCAAGAGACAAAGGATCTTTCTCTAGCATGAAATTTTGGGACAACATGGTGAGAGATGGATGTTCGGGTAAGAGGAGGGTTGTGGGTGCGGTGGATGCGGAAGGCTGCCGAGACGTGGTACGGTTTTAAGTATGACTCGGATGAAACGGGTTGCTTCCACGCTAAGAACACCGATTTCCGTTGCCAGACTAAACTAACCTCACTGGTAAGGGTTTCTAGACATGCTACGTTCCCTCTAGTCTACTTATATTAAAAAGTGATCAAAGCGCTGAATATTGAATCCACAGCCCTGATACTGCTTCAACCGTGGATTTATTACGGTATTCCAGCATCGTCTCTGCACGGAGACGCCATCATTATCTTTCAGTTCTAGAACCGCCGAAAAGGGTCCCGCCATCCTAGCGTTCCTCTTGCCCTAGCTAACAGACTCTTATCTTAGGAGACGGGTGACTGCAGCAGGTGCTACGAATGTGGTCTGCCTCGCGACACTCTGCTAGATGCTAAGCGCTAAAGTTCGGCTTGAGCTTCGCTTATCTAACCCTAGCTACTTACTGTAATTGTTCAAAGGTAATCACGCCACGTCCAAATTACTTTACTACATATACAAACCCACATAACTAACGTTACTACTCTGAGAACCCTCGAGCCCCAAGGCGTCACTATAACCGAGGCCGAGTAACGAGATGCTAGTGGCATTACCGCGGCGACCGGACGGGCTGCCAATGAACAAGCTTGCTTGTAAGGTCATATGTACATAGTACGTTGGCCAAGAACACAAGGCCATATATACTAGATCACTTGTACCTAAACCATGTAAGCAGGTGACTCGCGAAAACAATAAAGGAAGTTTCAAATTACTTAGCTGGGATAAGCTCAGAGCTATGCGTGGGTGCTCCCCGCATTCTTGATATTACCTAATACTATTACCCCGTCGTCCCTAGTAGTTGTTGTAAATCCTGCAGCCGATCTACTACCCCAATCCTTTACTCCAGCCAATGAAACCGGTTAGGATGTTCGGAACTGTAATCGGCTGTTTCCATGATTATGTACGGCACATAATATCCTGAATGGCGCTTGCAAACTAAAGGCATGTTTTGCCACCTCAAGTTGCACGTCTTCGGTGCCAAGCCCCTGAACGTGCTGCCACGTATACAGCACGTGCCTGCACCTTGGGGATATGTTGTACCGATCAGTTTGCGAAGATCAAAAACAAAGTAGGAGCTGAGAGGGGCGATTCAACGGATCAGTGGCTGTTGGAGTTGCACGATTTAGTGATGGAGTCCGACGGAGATGGAGTCACCGGGAAGTAACTTGTTTTACTCTGTTGAATGGTGCTAGGCCTCAATGAACCGTGCATCGGTTTCAGACAGACCCACGCGGCACTTTCGCCCTTTGGTATTTGCACACTGCACTGCGCAACCACAGTGCCTGATTCCCACTCCTCCGAGCCGTCACTTGATTCTTGATGTGAGTTGTCAACTTCGTCATAGCATGTGCCGACCCTGAATTGCGTCCCGCAGGGTATATGGGCATTGAATGAGTATTTGTCACAGGGAATAAACCATGTGAAACCTACAACGGGAAGGTTCATGATTATAGCGGGAATGAGCGAAGGGCCGCCCAGTGCCAGAGACATCGCAGAACACAGCGGTAATAGCTGAATGGTTAACATCTAGAAATACATCAGACGCCAACAACATATACGGACGCAAATAGTAGCGGAGTGTAGTATTATCATTCATTGCCGAGCAAGATGAATGCCCGTGGTAGAAATTGAGTAGAAACGCAAACTGCGCTTTGATGTTCTGATATCGGCACTCCGCTCCCATCGAAGAGGCCCAGTCTGGACTCTGCAATGGCCGAAGCGGGAAGCAATGTGCTTCTTCTATTAGTGATTAGTGCACCAATCATGTCGCGACGCACCGCCCGGATCTTAAACATCACTGTCTTGATTAATAGAACCACGGTATAACTCAGACCAGAACATCCACATGGATTTACAAGGACAGCTCAGATGTGGAGACGGACTGGACTACGGAGTCATGTATCATAGGACCCAAACACCTGGGCTGTTACTGCTCCTGTCATGATCTCAGCAACGTATATATATGATAGTCGGGCGGGCCTACCTTTGGTGCTATGATGACAATTGAAGCTATTGGTGTCTTCGATCCTGTCTAGAACTTGTATAGCCAGGTGATTGGATAACGGAACATATACTTTTAAGAGTCACCCAATGCACATGGGGTTTGGACGAGAGCCTGTTACCATAAACGATAAAGAATTTTCATTGGCTCCTCGCGGATTACGTAAACGCATCTGAATCACACTCTCCTTTTCTCCAACTCATCTTTCCGGCAGAAATACGAGAATGGGATTCATGCTGCCGTCCCCAACCAACCCAAGAGAGCACGCTCGTGCTCTCATGTCTCAAAAAGAGAACATCGAGGCCGAACTCGACGCGCAGTTTTCTATCCTTAAAGTCAATAATGTTGATATGACCACACCCCTGGTTGATCGGGAAGGTTTTCCTCGGGCAGATGTCGACGTATACGCGATACGGCATGCCCGCAAACGCATCAACGAGCTGCGAAACGATTACAAAGCTGTCATGAATGAGATTGAGACAGCTCTCCAGGCGGTATATGATCCATCTACAGTTGGATCATTACCCGCCGCATCTGAGGAGGTTGCGCAACACACGAGTTTGACGGATAGCGCGGAATCGCTACTTGCTTTTGCAAGAGTGGATGGTGTAGCTCCAGGTAGCCCCGCAGCAGAAGCAGTACGTCGGTATGAAGCTTGCTTCAAGGACGATATCGACAGGGTTTTACTTACAGGGACTTCGACGAGAAGATCTGATATTGAAGTTTGGATCTCTCGCACGATCATCATTTACAGCAAATTCTTTGCAACCGCTAGCTGATCTAGTATCCGTTAATGAAAATGTTGGTTCAGGTTAATTTTCCCGCACCGCCAATCTGCTAACATTCTTTAGCGCGAGATTCAGGTCATCATATCAAGGTCTGAGGAAATTATGTCATTGAAACTCACTCCGCGCAAGGGCTGGGGTGGGCGTGGCATGCTAGGGTACGATATCTTTGGCCGTGTGCTCGACATGAAGTAATGCTCATCAACAGGTGCCATATTGTCCCTCACGAATCCTAGCCATCATCGACGCTCTTTTGACTCGGAGACCACACAGATTTTCTCCATTCGTCATAGCTTTGTATATGTAATTATGCGCACACTGTCAAAGATCATTCGCTCATCACTCGAGCCCTTGGCAATGCAGACGATACGTTACGGAATACCGACAGTTCCAGGTTTCCAATATTGAACGCCCTGGGCCCACATGGCGTGTTCGAGCAATTTCAAAGATATTCCTTTCATATCGGACCATTTGTTATCGATCCCAGTGATGCAAGCCTGTCAATCGATTACGCAAAGAGAGCAACCCTAGTAGAGGAAGTACGGATAGGAAGAGATGTTCAGCCAAAGTGAAGCTCTCTTCCCATACCTACTTTCTTTATTGATGTGTCCCGATTCCCATACATTCGCGCCCGGTCATGGCTTTTCACAGCTGGCAAAGCCCTGAAAATGGCCTGATCCAGATTGTTGGGCTGTAACTTTTATACATAATCAAAGCCACAGCGAACAGAACTGAGAACAAGACTATGCATCGTGGTGAGCGTTAAACGCTCAGCGACTGAATACCGATTTGGTATCCCAATGAATGAATCTTGAGTTTGCAGTTTCAGTTGCTTGAAACATCTGCGGTGCGATATGTAACCACGATGTTCGCATGGACGAATTTGGTATGAATTTCAGAGAAAACACCATACTTGAATCCGTGTCGATGGACATAATGTACCCTTGCTTTGGGAGAGACCAGATCACTGGTCCAGGTGTATGTGCTTCGAATTCTCTCGTACACGCCACATCAACTCCTACACGGCTCATCTATGAAACCAACAATGTCAATCCAAGCAACGTTGAAGACCATGCGCGAGCGGATCGGGCGAAACCAGTCATCGCTGGCTCTATTAGGCAGACACCCGATGGTCGTTTGCATCGGTACTACTGCCAGTTCTGGTACCGATGCGAGGACGCAGAAATTAAGAATAGTTCAGTATTGGTGCAGCGTAAAGAATTACAACATTTTGGTATCCAAATAAGCAAAGGAAGAAAGAAATCGAAGGAAGAAATACAACTCATTCTACACCGAATCCTTCTGTTTCCCTGTAAACAGCCAAAAAAAATCAGCGTACGTCTCCAGGATCGGACACAAAACGAACGCACTCGATGGCATACGTCAATTTTTTTTCGAGGCTCTCGTAATCTTCGTAAGGAGGCAACTCGATCCTATTGAAACACGTATGGCTCCTCGGGAGTTGTGATGGATCGCCAGACTTATCGATAGTGAATCTCCGCGGCCCATCCGAACCCTGTAAATCTTTGAAGCCATTGACAGGCACCCTGGAAGTACCCGTCGCAAACTGGAGTAAGCGCGACTTGCGTTCTGGGGGCCAGCTACGGATGCATTGCCAGAACCACTCGATGACTTTGTCCGTCTTTTCGTATCCGCGGTAATCAGTGTATTGGATCCAGTCATCGCTGTAACGCATTATTAGCGTGATAAAACATGAGCATGATGAGATACGTACGTGTCAATCTCGGACATCCCCCCTATGAGAAGCTCGAGTTCTCGCTCGTCAAAGAGGTCAATCAGATCTCTAGGTATGATCTCCTGGAAGCCGAGCATGAAGGCTTGGGATTGTTCCCGGACTCTTGTCTTAGTACGGTATTCCACAACCGCTTCAACATACTCCTTCTTGTTACCTTCGGTGACGGGTATATCAGCTCCTCCAGGCTTCAGCTCGACTTCCACAATCTCGCCAAAGCGGTCTTCCGTAGAAGTGAACGTTTCGTCCAAGACATCGGTGATATCATTTTCTCTAAATCAATTGTTGAGCGACTCGACCTAGCAGCGATAAGAACAGAAACATACAACATCCAGACTAGACTACGGTGAAGGTCAGCATCGACGCCTTCGAGATCAGCCAATGTTGACTTTTTCCCAAGGATGATCTTGTAGAAGCTGGGTACGAAGTAGGCATCAAGAAATCGCCTATGGAATATGGCAAGCCCAAGACATCGCCCAATAAATTTGAAGTATGTGAGATGCTCAGGATTTATGCCCGACATCCAGTTCATCTGAAGGGTGTAATTGTCGTGTGCGGAATATTGGAACAAGCCATAGGATGGGTCGAAGATCTCATGAGACACCAGGAAGAACCACTCCCTATCGCAGTATTAGAACAAGGTCGCCTCAACCAGTGAAAGTGTAATTCATACCTCGAGACGCCTCCATAATCCAAGCCATCTTCTCCTTCGAACTTGATCACGAGCCTCCTCTTCAACTCATTTCCGCTCATTCTCATGACAGCGGCGAAGCTGTCATCCAAGACTCGGCTTCTCCGCAGTTTCAACTCGCATTTGCCCTCCTTCAGGTTCATCGCGGGTTGACTGCGGAAGTAGATCACCTTCCTTCTGTAATCACGCTTGTACTGAGGGGCGTTAGAATCCAGATTCGAGGGTAATCTTGGATCATCCCAGGTCGTGGTGCGGGTATTGTGATCAACAAAGTACACTCTGCCAGTGGAAGTGAGGCGCATCTCCCAACCTGACGGAAGAGGACCAATATTCGCATTCGCGCTCGCGGACGCAGAGATAGCAGAAGGTGCGACTTGTACCGTACGAGGGTCTATCCATGTCGTCAGACGTGTATGATGGTCAACAAAGTAGGGGCGTCCTTCTGGCGTCCGACGCTCTTCCCATCCTGCCGGTAGGGGGACATCTACATAACCACCGCTGCTGCGGGTGGGATTCTGAACGTGCGGCTGCGTCACGGAGATTGACGGAGCACGAGCAGAAGATGATATAGAAGGTATGGCTGTGGGCCGTACCCATGTGGTCAACCTTCTATTGTGGTCAACGTAATAGACTCGGCCGCTTTGTTCGTCAAGACGACGCTCCCATCCTCGAGGGAGGGGTGCTTCGTCTTCATCGTCTACACTGGTACTAGTGGTAGATTGTCCCGTGCTAGAAGGCTCACGTTCAATACCCATAGGAGGTCTGGTTAGTGTTGTTGCACTATCTGACGAGGTTCGGGACTCCGAGTTGGAAGTTGAACCTTGGCGGTTATGAAGGGGACCGAGAGATGGGACACGGGGAAGAGCGGGTACCCTTGTTGAGGACTCGGGGCGAAGCATGGGTGTGCTCTGACGGGAACGCAAAGGCCGGTTTACTGACACACTAGGTAATAGATTGCTTTGCGCAGCATCCGACGGAGTGTTCGGCGGAAGCGAGAACGAAAACATCAACTTCCCGTAAACAGATGTTCCAGTAGATGACGGGCAAAGGTCGTGAGTTATAAGCCCTGAAGCAGGTCGTGTTAGCTTGAAGTATCGAAGTTAAGGATTATGAGTACTATAACTGTTGGCCGTGTGCTCTATCGCCTCTTGGCCGGTAAGCTTTACAAGCCCAAGGAAACCTTGATCTCGCTTTCTGAATCTCTTTTGGTCGAATATCTGGATTATGATGGTGGAAGATGGTCGAACGGTGCTACAAAACACGATTAATACTGATAGCAGCGAGAAAACCCAAAGAAACTCACATATCAAAGTGCTGATTCCAAGTCGGGCTCAAACTCCTTTTCACTGGGCTGGTGGTGTATGTCTGATCGGTGTCGACAGAGACGACAACGAATGGGTCTGGGAGACTGAAAACCTCTCGCTTCACAAGGGAATTGGCGGCAAGGACTGGGCGTGCACAGACTCGGATGAGCAGTTGTGGCGGTACAAATAATCATGCATTACTCACCGGTGATTCGGATGGTCTGTATTTGCTGTTCGTTCGACATCTAGAGCAGCCACCAGGGGTGCTCGTCAGTAGTTGTAGTTGGAAGTGCAGGAAATGCCAGGATGGTGAGTGAAAGGAGACGCAAGTTGAGGTTGAGCGAACTATTCTTGAGCGCTATGCTGTGGAGATGGCAATGACCATGAATAAGGCGACAACGACTCGAAATTAGATTAATTTACACGGATATAGCAGTCCTGACCAATATTTGAAGAAGATATAACAGATATAATTTTATGGACGAGGATGTGAGCGACTGGAGCAACACAAGACCAGCTGCGGCAAAGTTAGGCAGAAAACAAATTATACCAAGGGAACATTGCAAGGGCGTAACATGCTGTAACTTGCTCGTAAACTTCTCGTTTTCATTACGTCCAACCTTACGGAGCCTCATCACACCCGATTCACAGACTCCTTTAAATCATGGTTTATGATATCTACAGGCTCATCACGACGCACGTTGCCAACATCCCACAGATTTTCTTTAGACTAAATCGTGATGTTAAGCTATCGCACGGCGAGCATCCCCACGAACTTTAAATTTCACAATACCTCATGGATCAAAGCATAGCTTCCCTTCGAATCCAAACCCAAAACGCTTTGCGAGTGCGAAGATAGCACGGGAAGATGGCACATATCTGCCTAGTAGGGGGAAAATACTAGGTGCACCGACTTGGAAGATCCCTTGAAATGGTAGGTTGGGCATCATGAGTCATTCCCTCCCCAATTATATTCACGTAACATTGCTACTAGTGTAGCCAAACGAAGATGTTACTTACGTGCAGGTTGATACCGTGGCATTGTCAGGATATTCTCAAAGACAACAGGTGTAAGCACCACTGGATTCTTCGGTAATTACAATCCTTCTGAAACGGTTTTAGTCGGGACAAGTACGGATTGAAGTGTTGCTGTTCTGCGACTTCTGGGAATCTCTTCACAGAACGACAAAACTATTTTATCATTATCGCGTAATGGCCTTGAAGACGCATTGGATGCTACAGGGGTCGAAGTCTTGACTGTAAGTTCGAAATGTTAGGCTCACGTACAACGGGCCGGCTGTATACAACAAGTCTGTACTCGCAGCAGTAGACGAAACGTTCAATGTTCGGCAAAATCGACAAGCATGCCAGTGATGATGACTTCACTCTTGATGATGACCGGTGAGACGTAGACTTTACGTCGAGCCCTTTTGTGATTGACTTCATTAAGTTTGACATGGGAAATACACCAACAGGGTCGAAGCTACTCCGAGCTTACTCGTTCATTGCGGCACCGGAAGGGCAGACACCAAGGAGGTTGCTGATTATCTTTTCGTTAGGAAGGAAAGGTTGTCACTAACATATATTGCTGTGTGAATGGGGGGTGGAAAATCATAGCTTCCTGAACTATTTTGCAGATACAAGGCCTGTCTCAAGACCGATCGGCACTTCCATGGGAAGTGTGAAAGTCAATGCGGTTAAACAGCGATTGTTAACCAGCAGTAATTACTAGGCAGGCCTAGCGGAGCAACAGGAAGGAAAGTGAGGCAAGGGATGGAATTTAAGGAAGCGGGCGCGAAAAATGTGAGCGCGAATGTAGACTTTGGCCGGTGCGTGACTATGAGATATTAACCCTATTGGCGGGCAGCGGCAGGCGGGTTGGCAGCATGCCCAAGTACCAGTATTGCACGTCCGGAAAATGGCCACTCTGGGCCTAATCAACATAGAGAAGTCTAGGGCCAGACTTAGTCTTCGGGCGGAGTTTGAATAATACTGCGATTTAAAATTGTGTCCCACCACGTGCACGTCACCGCTCTGCTCTTTACTGTTTTTTTTTGCTCACTAACTATGGCGAGTCGCGACAGACCAACGACCCCACTGAATGAATCATTCCATGGTGTTATTGGTCTTAAGCGCTTAAGCATGTATCAGATTGACAGCAAGAATTTTTGGCAATACGATGGTTAATTGTAAATTTCAAATTCTCATTAGGGGAAGTCTCATAGAATGAAACATAGCGCACTCGAACAACCAGAGCTTGGGCCGGTAGAACTTCGCATCTGATGCTGCATGTCGGACGTCGCACGCGGAGATGATGTCTATTCCCAAACCAATCACGATCCCATGCACTGCTGCTATGGGCATCGCTCGGGGGCTGCTACAGCGTGTTGGATGTTCAGGTCCCAGGATGTCGTCACAGATAAGAAATGCGCGACGTGCAGGATCCATGTATCGCCGCAATACCTGCTTAACTCTGACAACAACACATGCGGAGCAGGACTGTACTTGCTCCCAAAACTAGTCATGTTTGCAATTCTGAAAATTGGGTCAGTGACAAAGCTGAGCCTGCCATTTTCATTTGGCCATCTACGCTCACATAAACTTAGGTAACCAAGTACCTCGATGGTTCGACTATGAACGAAAGAAACAAGGAGTGTGAAGCAAGCTCACAAACTATCTGGCAATAGGTACGCATAATGATAGTCTACTATAGTAGTATTGGAGCAATATAGGGGACTCTGTCGAATGTACTATTCCAGTGTACTACAGCCGGCGGCCCCGGGCTACTACTTGGACTTAGACGTCAGACTTTCAAGTACGCCCCAGAATCTCAGACGTTGGCCAAATCCCTGCTTTCACACATCGGGCGGGATTTGAACCCCACTGGGCAACCACTGGGCGTCGCCAAGCCTGCGGTCGAGACACCGGCCAAATTCATAACTTCCTGGCCTCAATCGAAGCCTGCTGCGCCAAACCTGCTCATGATGCCACCGGAGTCCGAGGTATGAGATATCTGGCAGTTACTTATAGATAGGATAAGGAACTTCCTGAGGTTCACGCGATAATTAGGCTTGATAGGGCATTTGACTTCGTTTGTTATTGCCTCAGGTGAGAGAGTATTAAAGGAAGATTCAGAGTCTTGAGAAAAGTCATTTTTGACATGAGTGAGATCCAGCGGAGAGTCGCCATCATTGGCGCCGGGTAAGTATCACTTTTGATTTGATTCTGTACCAACTGAACATTGGACTACGCGCAGTATTGCCGGGTTAACCCAAGCTATTGCTCTCAAAACCAAACTTAAATTCCACAATTTCACAGTGGGTCCATCCATGCAATGAGTGGTATGTTCGCTGAGTAGTTCAATAGATATATGAGAAAGAGTCTGAAGTTGGCGGAGTGTGGAGGGTACGTGGTTGTCATGCACCAAAGCGTTTTCCTGACATTTTTTGTTTGCACAGGCCAACACATATCCTGTACGTATTATCAATGATCGAAACTGCGACACCGTATCGCTCACCTCGAAGCTTGTTTTAGGGATGCTCATCAGATATCGAAATTCATTGGTACAGCTTATTATCAGACCCTTACCCATACTGGAACGCATCACATGGCCTTCAACCGGAAATTCAAGCCTACTGGATCAACCTCTCGAAGAAATACAATCTATATCCACACATCGCATTCAACACAAAAGTATTGTCTGCCGAGTGGGATGATGCCAAACAACAGTACAACATCATCGTGGAAGATGTATCTTCAGGCAAGAGAATGTCGAGCGTAGCCAACGTCGTGATATCTGCCATTGGTATCTTGCAAGTCCCAAAGATTCCATATGAGATCCCTGGAGTTCGCAAGTTTCAGGGGGCATCGTTTCATTCCGCACAGTGGCCAGACTCAATAAATCTGCAAAACAAGCGCGTTGCAGTGATTGGAAATGCCTCCTCCGGGTGAGTCACGACGACTTCTGCGCAGGGAATTGGTAGTGACATACAACAAGAGTACAGTTCGTGCCATCTATATCTGAAGACTCGTCCGTCGAAGTAGTCAACTTCATCCGCACCCCGACCTGGTTTACCACTCGAGTGAGTTTCTTTGTATCATGGTCGATGATTCGGCAACAAAACAAACATCTAAGCCACGCATTCCATACTCGAACACTGTGAAATGGATATTTGCTAACATCCCCCTGGTAATGCAACTGCACCGAACTTGGATTATGCTCCAGGTCAGGCCTCCTGCACTACAGAATGTTAGCTTGCTGACATTTGTTACAGTATATTGTTCCCCCTCACTTACCCATGGGTCATAGGGCTCTCCAGAAAAAACATGACGTGAGCAGGGGCCCCGAGACTGGGTATTCGGTCTAACGTTTCTACTTAGGCGATGAAGAAATACATCCTCAATAACACACCGGATAGATACCATTCTCATATGATACCTGATCATCGTACGTGTCTGATCAAGGAGATTTATTCATGCTCACATGTTTCGCAGCCCCAGGTTGCAAGCGGACTGGTTCGTCGGCAGTAGTGAAACTGACTCATTATTCTCTTTCTCATTTCATTACATGCAGTCGCGAACAGTGGTTTCCTGAAAAGTATCTGTCGTTCTAACGTGACACTGAACTTCGACGGAATCGCCGAGATAGTGGAGAATGGCATCATCACAAAGACTGGTGTGTGAGCTGTCAATGGCGTCATCACTTTCCTCATATAATTTAGGTGAAATGTTACTATTTGATGTCATTGTATACGCGACCGGATTCAGCTGCGTAAGTTGCAATACATGATGGAACATTCTATTCGGTGCCAAATGCAGAAACAGGAGTCGTATCAGATGCACGTTCGAGGCTTGAATGGAGCCACTGTCCAAGGCTATTATGAGGCGCATGGTGGCCCTACTGCATACCTCGGGACTGCAATTCCAGACTCACCAAACTTTTACTTGATAATTGGTGAGTTCAGATGCCAGCGTGTCGCCATCAACTGTAGCCTGAGGTAATAATCACAGGACCAAATACTGGAGGATCAACAGCATCGACGTGGACCGCAGAAGCGCAAGTAAGTACACCTTGATTTTTGTATCTTTCTACTCAAGTTTGTCTCGAGGTTGCATACATCCTTCAACTCATAGAGCCGGTCCTTACTGGTTCTGCCTCATCTTTCACCGTCAAAGCCACACCCACAGATACATACAACGCCAAGCTACAAGAACGGCTCTCTCGCTCGGTGCATGTACACTGCTTCTCTTGGAGGCGTACGAACGGTACAGGCAAAGTGTTCCATTCGTTTCCTTGGCCTGGGACAGTTTTCTTGTGGTTACTTCGTAGACCAAATTGGGATCATTATACGGCTGTCGGCGCTGAGAAATGGGTATGGGCAAGGCGAAGAAAGGCTGTTAAGGATATTCTGAAATGTGCTGCAGTCTTGACGCTACTGTGGTTATACATCAACGGCTCTGCCCAGCGGATTTTATACGACATGTAGTAAGTCCATCATTGTTCTCGATACCTGTCAATTGAACGATCTCTATCTTCAAGCAAGCGGCTACCATGACTTATAGCTACTTGAGTAAATTTGCCCTCCGTCTTTGAGGTGCCCATAGTCTACGAGACATATCATACTCATGTGAAGTAGAAACTGGACGGCTTGTCTCCTGTTTCTTCATGACGAAGATTGGCAATCAGGGCGGCAACCTCTGTTAGAGCATGTTTGCCGATCATTATGAACCATGTTTTCCAGCTTACTTGGCAGAAGTCAAATTTAACAAAGCAGTTAGGTTGTCCTCATCCACCATCTACGTTTCTGATGGAAGGATCTGAAACAGCTAAGCAATCTTCCAAATGATTCAAACTTTTCCATGGGAACACATCTATGCGGAGTCAATCTTCAACTTAAAACGCCATGTTCAACGGTAAGGTCAAGCAATAGAAATGAAATTTGAATTGATAAATTATATTTTCTCGCCTTATTCAGCTGCCAATGAATTTGAAGGACCCCGCATTCGCACTAAACAAGAAAACCGTCAGGCCCTTAAATAAATCTCTGACGCAGAGCTGTCAACATGCGGTCACTCACACATTTCAAGCTCCTTCAAGCTATAATACTCTCCAAGCGTTCAGCAGCGTGATGTGCGACTAGGAACGACCTTAACACCGAACACTAGTAACCCAATCAATACAAAGTTTATATCACATCAACAAGTGTACTCACTGGCACCGGAAGCGCGCTCAGATCGGATGTTCACGGTCGGGCTATCCAATACAGTACCGGGACCGAAGTAGGTGACACGCTCCCACTTCCTGGGGCGAGTTATTTGAGAATAGGCCACTGGAGATGGTGGTTGCTGTGGCCAAAACCTATCCTCGGGAGTGTTGTATCCTAGAGGACTGATTAACATACGACAGTAATGAGGCCAGAAATGTGTCGCCCACTTGCTCCGGTTGCATTGTCTGAGTCGAAATTAATTGTAGGTGACCCAACATACGAGTTGGAATCGAAATAAATGCAGTCTGTGTCTTCGCACAGTGGTTCATGTGGACTATCCTGAGCCAGGGGTCGTGCTGTGTGATGTCAGTGTTGAACTGGGGTAAGAACGTCGTGTCCTCAATGACAGCGACAATGAGTAGCGCTTACCCGGAGTTTCTGGTCTGCCCTGTTCTGAAGATGGCGGAGTGACAAAAAGAAACTTGAAGCAATTCCAGAAGAAAAACATGAAGCAACGGTATGAGACTGGCGATCTGGTGAATTATTGAGAGTGTGTTGATGGGGACATCTATTTCTAACCAGATACTTATACTTCTGCAAGACTGTCAAGAAAATGTTGGCCTAAGAACAATAACACCCAACTTGGACTTACAACAAACATCGCGATCATATCGGCATGTAAGGCAGTGGAAAGATATCAATAGCTCCTAACTTAGGCGCCGCTGAGCGCCCGTTCCCGACTCCGCCGGCTCTCTCCCATTTCCTTGCCACTTCCAATGTTTCCTTCGTCCTTCCCACACGTCTCTCCTTGCTTTTCGATTTTGAATGTCTCTCGCATTCAATGTCGGTTTTTCTTCCCTGGTTTAAACTACTCAGACTTTCGGGCATCCTGATGCAAGGGAATCGAAAGGCAGACAATTAAAGAAGATGGTCTGAAACCAGTTTCCCACGGATGGAAGCTTAAGCGCTTAAGCCTTAAGGCTGACCCAATTTTTGATACAGAACTATCAACATGCGGTCACTAAACACATTTCCAGCTGCTTCAAGCTATAATACTCTCCAAGCGTTTAGTAGACTCGTGTGCGACTAGGAACTACCGTATCAACGAAATGCTAGTAATCCAAATCAATACAGAGTTTATATCACATTAACAAGCGTACTTACTGGTGCCAGAAGCACCCGGAGATCGGATGTTCACGGTCGGGCTACCCACTACAGTGCCAGGACCGAAATACATGACACGCTCATGCATCATGGGGTGAGTTATTTGAAGGGGATAGGCCACTGCAGATGGTGGTCGATGTGGCCGGAACCTGTCCTCGGGAGTGTTGTATGCTAGAGGACTGATCAGCATATGACAATAACGAGGCTAGAAATGTGTCGCCCACTTGCTCCAGTCGCGTTTTCTGAGTCGATATTAAATGTAGGTGACCCAACATACGAGTTGGAACCGAAAAAAACTCAGCCTATGTCCATGTCTTCGCCCGGTCGTGCATGTAGACTATCCTGAGCCGGGGGTCGTGCTGTGTGGCGTCAGTATTAAACTAGGGGCAAGAATGCCGCGTACATACCTGTGGAAGCATTTGAGGTAGCTTGCTCGGTTGCAGAGAGACTGATGGGGGCCGCGGGACCATCTGTACCAGTTGAAGCCTCGGACAAGCTACTGGTCGTGGTGGAATTGGACTGAAGTGACATGTGACCGTCAGAAAATGGTTTTTCAGTAGTACTGGATGATTCGGAGCCGGGTTCAACCTCCAGGTCGGTTTCGGTAGTGGCTGGTGTCCAGAGCTTAGTCTTCAACGACAGCGACAATGAATAGCGCTTACCCAGACCTTCAACGTCCGGGTCAGTTTTGGTAGTGGCTGGTGTCCAGAGCTTAGTCTTCATCGACGGCGACAATGAATAACGCTTACCCAGAGTTTCAACCTCCGGGTCGGTTTTTGTAGTAGCTGGTGTCCAGAACTTAGTCTTCAATGTCGGCGACAATGAATAGCACTTACCCAAAGTTTCTGGTGATACAGGACGACCCTTTTTTGAAGCTGGCGAAGCGACAAAGTATTTCCGGAAGGATGACACGAAGCGGCGGTATAATTTCATGGTCTGGTGATCTAGTGAATTATTGGAAGTGTGTTGATGGGGACTACATATTTCTGAATAGTCCCATATTTATACTTCTGCAAGACTGGCAGGAAAACGCTGATAGCGTCTGGCCTCGAGTTTCGTTCCGAGCCGTGATATTGAAGAACAATAACACCAACTTGAACTGACAAGTAACGATCGTAATGACATATCTAAGGCAGTGGAAAGATATTAATAGCACCTGCAAAATTACAACTACAAAAACCTACAAATCTACCAGGACCGCTAAGGCGCAGACGGTCACCTCTGATGCACAAAGCACCACCCATGTTGGCCAAGTGAAACCGGCTATATTACAATAATGGTCATGGCCAAAACGGTTGAGATCGAGTAGAATATGATGAATTTAGAAGCACAATTACCTCGCGGAGCAAGGTCGTGTCGGTAAGGCTTGTCGAGTCAAGAACATGCTGTGCAAGAGAGCGTACTAAGTGGCCAAATAGAAATTCATTCGTTCATGCAATCATGCAATCACGCGAGACACAATCAACGCAAATTGCAGAAATTATCTGATAGAAAACCATCAATATCAAAACATATGATTACAAATAACTTTACAGCGACCTTGTTCCCTCGAATTAACTTGGTTGTTATCGATTGATGGGCCAAGCGACACAACCTACTACGGTAAGGTAGCAAAACCGACAAACATCACGTGATAATCGTGAGGAAGAAAATAATCTATTACATAATTGTTCTTCCTCTCGCACTCAGTCCCAACCCACCAACTGGACAAGCCACACCGTCCTCGAAGAATGCAATACTTTTTTTTGTTAATTGTTATATAGATAGGTATAGTTTTGTGGCCCTTAGATAGTAATTCATAATATTCATTATTCCTATACTATGAAGATTAGCGAGCTGCGAGTCTAGCTCTAAATTATGGTAGTTTATCTGTCTTATCAAAATTTTCTCTATTTTACCCCAAGTTTGCACGGGAAGTTTTTCCTGATACTTGTTTAAACTTATGCAAAGCCCACGGGGCCTTGGAACACCTAGTTCTACTATGCATCAATGGCACTGCCTCCTGTGCCGTCAGAGTGGCATCGCCCGTAATTCGAAAAGGGTTAACAAGACGCTTCATCCACACATTACATAAATTTGGTTGCCTACTTACGAGAAACAAACAGCAAGGTGATATCACGATAACTAGGTATACAACATTACAACTTAGCCTTCGCCTTGACTAGCTTGGCCATCCCGCCGATAATCTCTTCTGCCTCCCTCTCCATGCGCGACAAGAGCTCTTCGCACGTCGGGATATCCTTGATCAAGCCAAGTACAAGACCTGCAGTCCAAATCCCATAGTCGGGATCACCATTCTCGAATACAATTTTGCCTCGTGCGCCCGAGACAAGGTCGCGGACGTCTTCAAACTTGGCCCCGCCTGGCCGCCGCTCGATAGCAACGACTTGCTGTGAGACTACATTCTTGAAAACGCGTGAGGTGTTGTTCAAAGTACGGAAAATGTGGGTGGTATCATATTCGGTGGAGGCGACAATTTTCTCTTTGATTTTTTGGTGGATGGGGCTGAATAGCGCGAGTGAGAAGAATATTGAGTTACAGTGCTACTATCGTACCTCTCAACTGTGCACATGAATCGTGTGCCCATGTTCACTCCCTACACGTACAGGTGATCAATAAGATTACGATGGGGGTGGTACAATACTCACAGCGGCACCAAGTGCGAGACAAGCAGCCAAGCCACGGCCATCTGCGATTCCACCCGATGCGATGTATGGTATTTTGAGTTCTTGCGCGGCTCTTGCAAGCTGTAAATTGTCACTATGTAATGATAATGACAACCAGTGATAAAGCGCACCAGAACAAGACCACCAATGTCCTCCTCTCCAGGGTGACCAGCACCTAACAATATTGTCGCAATCAAATTCAAACAAGTAGATGAGGGACTCACATTCGAAACCGTCGATACTCAGAACGTCAACGCCCAGTCGTTCTGCGGACTACATGACCCGCTTTAGCATATGAAACATACATCTTAGTCTGATTAAACGGGGAGCGAACCTTGGCGTGTCGGATCGTGGTGCACTTATGTATCACAATGCATCCATGCGACTTGAAGAACTCGATGAGCTTTCCCGCTATGAGTTGTGTCAGAATCATTGTAACTGATGAGAACACGAGACTACGCACGACTGTTCCCTGCTGTTTCAAATATCTTGACGCCTTCTTCTATAGCTACACGCGCGAAACCTTCATAGTCTGGTGGGTTAATCGAGGGCAGAATCGTGATGTTGACGCCAAAGGGCTTGTCAGTTGCTGCGCGGGTTTCACGGATCACAGTGCGCAAAGCTTCGGGATTCGGCTGCGTAAGTGCAGTGATGACCCCTACAACAAATTTAGCGGATATAGCTAGGAAGCGAGCAATATTACACACCAAGACCTCCCGCGTTCGACACGGCTGCAGGAAGTGGAGGTTTTCCGACCCTGCGCACAACAATCAGATTCTTGAGAGAACTTCGACAGTGCAGACGTCATTTACCATTGCATACCCCCTTGCACTACTGGCCTGTCGACAGCGGAACAAGACGTAAATGTATGTCTTCCAAACAACAGACGTGCATTAACTTACACACGGATGCCCAGAAGTTCAGTCAATGCAGTTCTAATCATTCTATCTGGATTGTGTCCTTGAATGCTCCTGGTGCACTAGTAGGTCTGTGTTGACTCCGTTGAGATGTACTAGGTAACAGTGAGCCTGGTATGAGAATATGAAACAGGTGTAAACGTGAAGAACAAAGGTTTGCGAGCTGGGCAAGTAAACTAAATGTGACAAGCGGTGAGGATAACGGTAAAAGAATCGAGGCTACATATACTACGCGGCGCTCGGCCATTGCTCGGTCACTTCCTTTAACAGGTCACCGGCATGTGATTGAGGACGTCCGGGAAATGGAAAGTCTACTAATAGGTCTAGTCTACGTAGACTCTTGCCTGCCAGGGCTCTGTCTGGGGGGAGGACATCCAGGAAATGGGAAGTCTGTGTGAGATCTGTGCAGCCTGGATGCGGAGTCTTCGCAGACCTCACACAAACTTCCCAATACCCTGACTTTCTGTCTGGGGGTGTGCCAGCTGCCCGGCTAGATTCGAGCGGGGTTTTATTTCCAACCGGGACGTATTAGTATGACTCAGCTTAGGATTCAGCTCATCATTGCCACCCCACCATGGACAAACTGTGTCAGGAGGGTGGCAACACAGCAGGCAGGCAGGTGGTCGGCAGGCAAGAAGGCGGGCGGGAGGCGGCGGGCATTGTCAACCAAGATGAGGGCGGGGTCAGCCACAAACTCCGCTCGAATCTGGCGGCCGGCCGGCACGGCACACCCCCAGACAAGAGCTTACATAGACCTAAGCCTTACTTTCACATGTGATTGTAATACAACCGGTTACTCTTGGGTGGTGCTTTGTCACGTTCAGTTGCATTCAATCATCACCATCATCAAATTCATCATCGAATCCAACTTATAATAAGTAGAGCGCGCACTGATAAGCCCATCATGTAACCGGAGAACTAACTCCATTTTATAGGATTTAGTACGTTATGTACGTGGAATGATGGCCCCAGAATCTTGTTGTTTTTGCCAGCTAGATCATCCTAAAGTTGTTACCGGTACGCCGTACTTAGAATGAAAATGTGATGCCTGATATCACCACGTTCGAAAGATTTATGCTTGAAAGCTCAAGGTCAAGGTCTATGATACCATAATCTTCCCTTCGCAAAATACAACAATGCGAGAAGTTTTGTGGCTTTGACTGTGGATACAAATTGTTGCACTGTCCTTCCGTGTGGACACACATCGTGCCAAAGCCGACACGCACAACTTGTGGATCAAAACTCAAGCCCACAATTTCCACTAAACAATGGATAGCAGTCCAAAGCTTGGCCATAAAACCTGATGTTATCTTAAAACACCAGCTCTCGCTCATTATTCGCGTTGATACCTGTATCCTCTCAATGGCCAGCACAATAACCACGAGTCTCTCGAAGTCTCGCACTATCAGGCGGAAAGCAGCTCTTCGGCTCGAACCGGAACCAGAAGTCATCACACATGGCCCTAGAGAATCTCTTACGCAGAAGTCGGACATCAGTACTAGCAGTGACAACACCGGTGTTTCGTCGACCTGTATATTGTCCCTCAATGTCCCACAGTTCGACATCCAAAGGACGTTCCCAGCGATCCTCGATCCGGTCAGACTTTTCCGCGAAGCCGCAGACGCACAGGACATCGAATCAATCCGTTCTTTGACCCCAACCTTTTTGCACGGTTTGACTACGATTTTGCGCTCCATGTCTCAACTCCCCGAAGACGTTCGGCATGCTTCAGGCTACAGGAATGCTGAATCCGGAGTCCGGCACTACAAGCTCCTCTTCATGAGCCATATCCAGCCGCTCCTTGACAACAAGGGCTTTAAACTGGTTTGTAGGAGGCAGTTTATTTGGGAGACTCTTGGATATTTAGACGCTATAATGTCTAGCCTGAAAAGGCTCATGCAAGTTGCCGAGCTCGAGATGCGTCAACTGAAGCCCCTTCCTGATACTCCCGAAGAATGTGAAGAGGAGATAGAAGCGGAAGAAGATAGCGATCACATCAATGGACCTCGCCGAAATTCTTTGCTGTCAGGGGATACCCACCAGTCTAGTGAAGGATCATCGACGGACAGGACATGTGTTGAAGAGACGGCAGAACTGGGTTCTCTTGCGAAGCCCCTGGCGATTAAACACACGAAACGGGGACTGGCTGCCATTCTTGGACCACTTTCAGTCAACTTGCGCCGCAAAATCTCCCAGTCATCTGCAAAGGTGGACAAAGCGGCATCTGTCGAGAAACTCACAACTTGCGCAGGACATGCTCGCGCGACTGCGAATATCAGGAACTCGATTGCCCTTTTTCCCGAGCTATTTGATGACAAGCTGGAGAAATCCTTCCCTCACCCGGATGACAGCACGGAGCTCTTCCTAGACAAGAATGGAGTTCTTCAGCTTGCTTCATTGAAGGGCCTTGTCAGGTATCTGACATCGGCAGTCTCTGATGACGACCTGGAGCTGTCAGATGTCTTTTTTCTCTGCTTCCGCTACTTTTCGACTCCGGCACTCGTTCTCGAGGCTTTCGTAGAGCGATACAAAGAGAAGCTACCTGGTTGCTTGTCTCCCGATCAAGCTCACATTCAGTCCATGCACGTCAAGATGCGTGTAGCTCGCCTGCTTAACCAGTGGGTCGATCTTCATTGGCGTCACTCAGAAGACCAGGAGGTCTTCGCGCCTCTCCTGCAATTCGCATTCTCTGATCTCTCTCGAGATCTCCCCCGCAGTGTTTCCTCGAAACTTATCGACACCTTGCACAACGCTGCATGCGCTAAAGAACACAACGGACGTCGCCTCGAGAAGACTGTTCAACTCATTCAAGGCTCTTCATCAGCTGAAGAGCTCTGTAGTCTATGGGAGCCTCGCGGCAAGAAGGCGATGGTTAAGGGCGAGTTTGCGAAGATCAAGTTGTCCAACTTCGCTTCTCCGCAAGGAATGGAGCTCCTGGCTCATCAACTCACCGCCCTCTTGTGGGAGAAGTACCGGGACTTCCAGCCTGAGGATGCTGCACGCTTTTGGGTGGAAGAAGCAACTGGAAAGTCCACTTATGGCGTTTCCAATGACGCTGGCACGAAGGTGACCACCTACGCTTCCTTTGAGAAGGCTCTTCACCTTTGGGCACTGGACGTCATCGTGTCTGCGCAGTCGATGGAGGATCGTATCCAGAAGGTTCAGTTTGTCTTGGAGTGGGCACAAGTCAGTCTTTTGTCATACAATTATAGCCTTAGCTGACGCGTCCTTTTACTCGCAGGAATGTCACATCATCGGAAACTACGCTGGTTCTTGGGCATTGTTTTCCGCGTGTGACAGACAGAGTTTAGTTGGCTCTTCATCGGTATGCACCTAAGATTATGACGTTGTTTCTCACTCACCTTACTTCACAGAACATCGGTGCCAGGCACGAAGAGATTCTACTCGCTCTACGTCTCTTTTTCAGCCACATAAATCGCATGAAGGCCTACAAGGACGCGATCCAAAGTAGTCGTGGACCCACTCTGCCTACTCTTGGTATGTTTAAAGACACTGATGACTTGACTCGTGCCTCTAACGATACCTTCTTGCAGTTCTTTTCATAGGTGACGTGAAGCGCCAGTGTGGTAACGAAGAATGTGTAGACCACCCAAATGCGCCAGGACATAAGCTCATCAACCTAAGGCGTTACCGCCCTCTCACGCGAGCTATCAGAGGTATGATTGTTACTCGTGCCTCTCAGTCAGTACTGACATTGCGACAGACATGGAGAGATGTCATACCCCCTATTGCATCCAGCGTGTGGATTACGTCTGCCAGTGGATGGAGGAGGTCATCTGCTCTTACCTCAGTCGCCCAGAAGTGGAATGGGAGGACATCTTTTATGACAAAAGGTATGATTTTTGCGTTCTGCCTTAGACGTCCATGAACTCACGACCCTCTCAAGCCAGCGTCTAGGGAAGAAGATAAACCGGAAATGCAGTATCTATTCGTAACAACAACATTCATTTCCTCGTCGACTGCCCACTTCTCGTCTTGATCTTTTATTGACTAGTTTATGATCCAGTCTGTACACATTAGTCTGCTTTGGTTCACCATGTACATTTTTCTTGTCGATGCTTTGTTGCTTTTCGTTCGTTTTGTTGACTGGCTCATAATTCAGTCCACTCACATTCCTTTGCTTCGGTTGCTTTCATTGATCACGTACACGTATAAACACGTCCACTCATTACCTTTCCTGTTACCGCACTGTAGTTATTCAGGTGCTTACAAACGCTCGTTTCCTTGCTAAATGTAACGGTTTTGAATGCGATTCGGATGAGATTGTGTGGTGTCATAACATATGCATAGGTGCATACAAAACATGGCCTTTGTGCTGTCGCATATCGTCGCATCACCAGCCGTGTCGAAATATGTGAGAATTACATTAAGCGCGTGCAGCTTCGATTCTCCTTCTGGCAACCTGTCTCCGGTTCAACGATGACAAGGATGATACGCCGACAGCGTCCTTGTCCTTGCTCCGCTCGACCTCCTCAGCCGAAACCCCCAGAATGATCTCGACGTGGCATGGGTGGCCTTGATAAGGGTTGATACGACCGTGTGCACGGTACGTGCGGCGGCGGGTTTTCTACGAGGTGTGAACAAGATTACGATATCGACTGAATTTAGAGCGAGATGCACGTACAGGTGCTTGCTGAACGCCGATGTTCTTGATGTAGAGGTCCTCGAGCTCTAGGCTCTTTGCGTCTGCATTTGACTCTGCGTTTTTGAGGAGGCGAGTGATGAACTTGACGGATTTCTCGGGCCAACGACCTATAGTATATCGTCAAGGTCAAATCTTCGTAGTTCGCTCGTCTAGTATCACGAGACGCACCCTGGGTTGCCTTGAATTGCTTGGCTTGGCTGGCCCGTCCGACACCACCAGCAAACCGACGGAAAGGGATGACTTGCTTATGGTCCGAGACATCAGATAGATAGGTGTATGCCTTGGTCAGCTTCAAGCCTGGATCGATCATGAGGTTTATAGGTATCACCATCACCATGATCTGGACACTGACCTGTGAGGGCTGCAGCAACTTCCCTCATGTTCTTGAAGTGCGTACGGAGGTACTCGCCCCGAGCGCGGGCGGCTGAACAAGGACCAAACAGTTATAAGTGTTGGGTCTGAATATCAAGGTGCAAGACAGACTTTTTTCGGGATTGGTGGCGAGAGCGGCGGCGGCGTAGCGGACTGTTTCAAGACGGTGAGCATCCTAGTGAATATAGACGATGACGACGCACCCATTTTTGAGCCTTGAGGATGTTGTCGAGCGCGGGCTTGTAAGTTTAGGATCGAGGACTGGGCCAATGTGGCTTAAACCTTAATTCTACAGTACTTCGGAATTTGCCGATGATACGAATTAGTGACCAAAGTAAAAATGGCGGGCGCTCTTCCTCAAGGCCTTCAGAGGCTGTTACTCATTCTTGCAACATACAAACGACCAGATAGCCTCTCAGTCAAGGATCTTATGGACTCTCGCATCCATGGTGGTCTCACATGCAATAACTTCCTTACGCTCCCTGGAAAGATCGATCTTCCTGCTTCCGATGTCATTACGGAGACCAAAATAGCCCGGAATGTTATTCTCAGGACTCCTTTCATGAGTAGTCCTATGGACACCATCACCTGAGACAGACATTGCCTTAGTCTCGCCCTGCTAGATGATATCCGTGTAGTTCATCCATCACCTCCATCCCTTGAACCCGATGCCTTATATCCTCCAGAAACAGGATCTTTGGGAGCCAAATCTGTCGGTATAGTCAGCTCGCGCGACGTGCAGTTTGAGTCTCCTGAACAATTCCTTCGCAAGGTCATGACCACGTTCCTCGTTACTGCACTTCAAGGCGTCACACTAACAGAAGCCAACCAAATCCTCCCAAAATAGCAGCGAGCAACTGTATGTCGGCACGCGACCTAGTGACAAAGCCCGCCTCGGATTCCTTGTCCAGGCTGGCCTTGATATGATCATCCTTGATCAACTCCAGTTTTCAGATCGACATGATTGAGTGGATCGAGCGAACGTTCCCGAAACTCGAAGAGGCTACTGCTGTGTTTGATTTACGTCCAAGTCTGGTCTTCCTGTGATTGCAGACGGTGGTATCGGCAATGTGGGGCACATTGTCAAGACACCCGCCCTTGGTGCGAGCGCTGTCTTGATGGGAGAGCTTCTTGCGGGTACCACAGAAGCACCGGGAGAGTACTTCCACTACGATGGGAAGCGAGCGAAGTCCTACCGAGGCATGGGTAGTTTTGAGGCTATGGAAGAGGGTAGATCGAGTGTGTCAAGTCAGGTCAACGACTTTACAAAACACGCATCCCGATCTTCGAGCAAGCCGCACGAGAACGCCGCTACGACGCGCTATTTCTCCGAGTCAAGGTTGCATAGGGCGTATCGGGTGACGTGCAAGATAAGGGCAGTGTCATGGCATTCATATACCTATACGTCGGTGTCCGCATAGTCTTCAGGACATCGGCGTACGCAGCGTTGCGGAGCTGCATCAAGGCGTGTTAGAGTGTCTTGTTAGGCTTGAGATGATACCGGCGAGTAATTTTATGCTTGATACGACGGTCTACCAACCAGCTAGATGGTCAACTTCACGAGACCAGACTGTCGTTGTGAAACTTCATCTTTGCCGTGTCTGGTACCGCTGCCACTGATTTGGAATTGCCCTCCTATTTTACTTTCTCTCGTGGCAGCGGCTGGATGCTCTCTTCAAAGTCGGACTCGACTGTCTGGTGTACTCTTAGAGACTTCCTTATTACGATGATTAGAAAGCCTATTTTCTTGTCGTTCTGATGAGTGTTTGTGGATGGTAAGTGGCAAGGTGACAAGTTATAGATTTATCATTTGTTACCGTTGCGTACTACTAGCTGGTACTTGGCTTTGAATTCAAACAACCGATTTCGTGGAGTGCTTGCGATTACCTTGCGAAACATCATTAATATTTTGTCAGGTCTGGGAAAGTCATGTGAGTTCTCAAGATCTCACTGCCAGCGTCAACGTTTCTTTATGTCATTTACATATGCCTTTATCTTTTCATCTGGACCTCAAGTTGGTTGCTAGGAACGTGCGAGTAGCTAACTTACTAAGTGTTGTCATTCAATACAACGACGTATAAGGTGGAAAGCAAGTAACATGAGCTGGGTAAACAAGTCATATAGTAGAATATTCTGACGGTTGACCATGCCGCGAAATTTTGGAGAACGAAGGTGAGGCAAAGGCACTTGCGACGTTATTTGCATGACCAAGTTTTGCAGTCGGAGTGTAAAGAATGATAGGGTCATGTACACGAGCGCCACCGAGCCTTCAAAGCTTCATGCCTCATTTCAGACATGCGTTCCTGTAGTTTGTAGTTCAATGCATAAGCTCATGGTCAACATATGCGAAATTTTCATTAGCAGCGATGGTGAGAATGATGACGAGATATGGGCAAGGCAATGAGGTTGTTTCTTTAGCAACTCCTTGATGTCCTCTCCACTGAGTCGCTGTGTAACCGAGGAATTTGTTAGCAGCGATCATCACAAAGCAGGAGACAACATACCATTCAACAAGATCTAGCGTCCGACATTGGTCTGACATCACTTTATTTCCTGAGGAGGTCAGCATATTGGGGATATCCCTCGGGGCCTCAAGCCGACGGAGCTCCAGAGATGCTTTTTTGGTGCGCATGGCTTCGCCGATCAACCGAGCTCTTTGCCTCACCTTGGGCTCGCACTACTTGAACAGACTGCAGAAGACAAATCAGAACCAAGAAAAACAAAGAAATCGTGAGCAACTTGTCTGACTAACCAAATGTACGATGGCAAGAGACCGTTAGGATGATAGCTTAGTGTGTCTTCATACATATGAAGAAATATCAATTTCATCATCAGTGAACCAGTGAACATGTTGTAGCCAACTGAACACGTTTGACTGTAGCAAAATGTCGAGATTAACTGGCACGCACATCAGGACCGCACAAGCTGACAGTCGATATAATTTCATGTAACGTCGCTGCAAATCCAAGTTTTGAACCGTACTCGAAAGAGTTTAAGCATGCATAGATCTCACTCGTTGAAATCGCGCGGGTCGAGGTGTATACGAGTAGATTTTCGGGTGCTGGCTGATGTGACTGCCGGGGCATCACCGATTCGCCGAATCATTGCCAGTACTGGATTAATCCTGCCAAGTTCCAACGACTTCAATTTGCAGATAATGGCTTCATAGTTGACTCGAGCTTGCACCACTGCCTATGTGAGGAATGGGGTATGGGGCGAAGGAAACGACTGTCGGACTTCTACACTAGGTAATGAGTCGTAGTAAGAGAATAGTTGTCGAACCGTGACAAACAAGGTTTAGATCCAAAAGACCCCGACCAAGTCACCGTTAGTGCCATTCGGCTGCCAAGGAACCTCAGGCTGCAGCAATCATCTATATCTCACCACTGTCCACAGCAGGCGTTGATGCCCACTAGCATCGATCAGGAGAACTCTGGTACATCACACCCAGCTAATGTTTCATCATCTTCCCAGTCTACTGCCTTAGAGCCAACGAGCCAGCTCCATGATTCCGAAGGGATTAACAGAGACTATGATAATCAGGTAGATCTTTCCTTTGTCCCGTTTCAATCTCAGGCTGGCCAATAGCAAGCGCTTATTTACCCACCAGCTCGATACCCTCAATGCATTACTGGAGCGGGAAAATAGAATTAAAGAGGGTGCTGAGAGGTTTCTCAAATTGCCTTTGAACGTATGTTCCATTACATCGCCGTTTGATTGATTTACAGTGCATTCCACAGGAGACGATGCGTTTGCAAGTGGAATCGGAGCTCGAGATGGCGACGGGCGAAATCGAGTCTCTGACAAGGAAGATCGAACTCGGTGCGTCTTCTTCGCAATTCGTATTGAAACAGCTGATACACAACACACCAGAAGCATCCCGAGGCAGGCGCAGGAAGAACGGAGTTCCTGTAAATCGACGCAAATTTGCTGGTCAGGCTCCTCCAGTCGGGGTTCGTTTTAGGGCAGACAGTGATGATAGGGACAGAGGTCTGTAAATTATTAGTGTTGACTTGTAAGTTGACATTCGGGGTAGATGATTTCAGAACAGCTCTGGCTCAGGCTAATGCTTGCATCAAATCCTTAAGTTCGCTTTCACGTCCAATAACATCACCCCCTCCAGCATCGTCCCCGTCATCCACGAGCAGTATTTCCGTAGCAGATAATGACAGGTCCAGGATAGATATAATGAACCGATTTGTCTGCATTCTCCAACGCAGTCTTCGCGTCCGCTACGAAGTCAATCTCCCTGAGGTTGTTCAAGCGTAGGCAGTTTTACGCGCCTTCATCAGTACTTATTGATGCCGGTTTTCAGGATAATCCCTGCTCTATCTGATCGATGCTCTATGCGTTGTCGAGCCGCTGCCTATCGGCTCGTCAGGCACGCATTAGTCGACTCAGATTCAGCAGAGGAGCTGCATAAACAGCCTCTAGAGTGGTTTATTGTGAAGTATTGTATTTATTTTGCCCTACTCGACAGGAATCTCACATTTATTCGAATAGATCTTTAGCACGAGATAACAAACATGCCGTAGAAAGGGAACAAGTCATCAAGCTCATTCGTACTATCGTTGACATCGTTTCCGAACCTCGAGATCGACGCGGCGTTAATGGAACAAAGACGATTCCTCTTTCGGAACCTATTATGCGAGCATTTGTAGCAGTTGCTGAGCATGCTGAAGATCCGTTTCGTCCCATTTGCGTACAAACCCTCGCTGAAATGAGTGCGTGAATATGTTTTATTGTGATCTTTTCTGCATCTGATCAAAACATCGAAGTTCTCATCGACATCGACCTCGTGGCGCGATCTGGAGGCATTCGATTCCTTTTGCATGCCCTAGGTGAAGGTCCAGTCGAAGCCGGGCCCATACTAGCAGCCACATTCTTGCACATCATTGACTCCCCTCGAACTCGCGCATACCTGCATCTTGGAACTGACTTGGAGGTGGGCAGGCCGTTCTTCTCAGCTTCTCAGGGTTCATGATTTTACTCTGTATACCAGATTGCTCTCTCTGCGATCACAGATGCTTATGGCAAGGGTGCAGATCACGCGGATCGTATGCGGAGCTGTACCAAGATCATACAACTGATGCTACGGACTTGGAGCGGTAGGCATCTTGTGACCTGTTCTCCGTCCAAGTATGAAATGATTTATAGGGTTGATGTATTTTTGTCTGGGGGATCAACACGCAATCAAGTCCATCGTCAATACCCTACGAATACCGTCTCTCGAAACAAGAGTGTGTT